TATATATATATATATATATATATATATATATATATATATATGCTAATCTTATATTTCACTATCGCAGGAAACACATAGCTATTAATTTTTATTTTGTTCGTGATAAAGTTTAAAATGGTAAGTTACATGTTTCTCATATCGCATCTTCTGATCAGCTTGCAGATCCAAGCCTGTGTGGTCAACAATTCCTTTTACTTCGGTTTAAGATCAATATTTTTGATAAGAGCACCAACTTACGAGGCTATATCACGAAGAATATTATTAAAAAAATAAATCATTATCATGATCATCTTAATATTTTAATAACATATTATTATGATTCTAAATTATAAAATCATGATAGTATATTATCATAAGTCTATCAAATATTAAGGATCATAATATCTTCTACATTATGAATTCATAATGATTTAGATGATTATTTTATATTTATTATTAATTAAAAAATATATTATTATTATTATATTTTATAATATATATAAATTTATATCCACTATCACCAAAAAGCAAAGCTATTCATTTCTTTCAATATACACCACCACCAAGGTGAAAAAAAATTTATAGTTACTATGCTGATTATGTATGTATCTATAACATGCATCAAATTGCAATTCTCATATTTACCATCCTGCAGGTTGAAAGAAATTTATAGTTGGCTATCATCGGAAAGGAACTACCGCGGCAGCAAATAATGCTGCTGAAGCCAAGAATGATACATGAGCATAACGTAGTGTCAGGGAGCTTTTCTTAACCTTTTGGTCTCTGACCTAACAGTAGAACGAGGTAGAAAAAGGTCTTGCAAAGAAGAAGAGTAACTTTGAGTTGCTTTCTTCTCTATTAATGCTGGAAATTATCATTATGTGGTGAGTTGAATGCACCCGGCCGGTCCTTTCAGTAATAGTCTAATCAACGTAACAACGACTTGGAAAAGTCAATGAGTATAGAATTCCGTCGACGAGCTCATTATTCATCGGATATATTATGCTGTGCTTCTCTCACCCTACGGCTAAATCTATCTAAAACTACTGTTTCCCACTGTCATCAGCCTGTCACATCTTATTAACCATAATTAACTCTTCTCGTCAGCTTGCCGTGCTCATTTGCCCTCAAAATTCTTAAAGATTATCCACCCACATTTGACTGAAATAATTAAGTTTTTACTAGAATATTTGATACGTTTTCATGGACCATTTCTTGAATCGATTATACTTTGAGGATTACTCCAAACCTACGATATGATTGACTCGCGCCTGTGTGGGGATAATCCACCACATATTGGTTGAACTTTTCCCTTTTTGCGATTAAATATTCAGAACAAAAAAAAACACGTATGTTGTCATTTTGGTGATCATTGGCAGGTTTCTTCTGCAGTAATCATCGGCAGCAATCAATTTAGTATGGGATGAAGAGAACTGTGCTATTGGAAGGACCAAGTCCTCCCGAGTGGGTGATCTCTCATATCAATCGTGCTATATAACCGGACTCAGCTGGCTCGCCCCTCCATACTGCCATCGATCATGAAGGTAAGTGGTGGCTTAGATTGATTTCATGTGTCATCACCGTGGTTTCTGATCCCATCTTTCCTGGAATCCGATTGCAGAAGATCGTGTTGAATGTCTGCATCATGTGCAACAAGTGCAAGATCTGCATCATGACGATCATCGCCCACTTCGAGGGTTAGCATGCAAGAACCCTAACCTGCTGCTTCAGTCTTGGCAGAGAGATGTGAGTGCATGCACGACCTTACGTACCTTTTTCCGGCTGGTGATTTGCAGGGGTTGTGTCGATAGCACTGGACGCCGAGAGGAACACTGTGACGATAGTGGGGAACGTCGACGCCACGCTCATCGTGAAAGCGCTGAGGAAGGCCAAGAAGACAGTCGACATCGTCAGCGTCGGGGAAGCCGGCAAGGACATGGAGGAGAAGACGAAGAAGAAGGTGGAGCTATGCACGCCGTCGCAGTCGCACTGCAGCTCTTGCAGGCCGGTGATGGTGGTGTACGACGAAACCAATTGGTGTAGCATCCTCTAAAGCAGTTGATTGTGCTACTACTTATTCATGTGTTTATTGTTGGGTCATAGTGAAGAATTCTAAAATCAAAATAATATTTTTCTAGAAATCAATAAATTAACAAGTATCTCAGAAAGTCAATGTTGGTTTAATAAATCTCATATATATTTATAGATAAAAATAAATTCTTCGTCATACGAGATCAGTTGTAAGACCTTGAATTATCCTCACTTAAATATAATTTATTTATAGATCATCTCAAATAAATTTTAAAAAAATTTACTTTTCTTCCATCAAAATTTAAGATTTTATTTCTTCACGAGAATTCGTTATGTATTAAGATTCGTTATCTCACTAGAATATTAACTTAAAAATTTTAAAATACTCACCAATCCCAACATTTATTTATATTTCAGTTCTAATAATAACCAAAATGACGTACATCACTGCATATTCCAAAATAGCTACATGTATACGTTTCGTATATTGATCTCGAGATAGAATTCATGTACTGATCGATACATAAGAACTCAGATGCAAAACAAGGTTTTGAATCATGCTACAGAGAACATACGTTATCTTTCTCAGTGCCCTTTCCAAAAGGCCAAGGGGTCAAATAAATGCATAAGCTCGGTAGATATGCAGGTTATCTTCTCTCCATTAATAATGATTTCTGCAATCCTCATATGAGCTCCGCTGACCTTGGAAAAGAAAATGATGTAGTCGTACAAGGCTACCTCATTCTCCTATACAGCTGAGTCTGTAAACAACACTAGTTATATCAGATAGGTGGCAAGCTTCTCTTGACCTAATCAGAACAAAGGGAAGATGCATGGAAGGTAGCTAAAACAAGAATAAGGAGGATTCCTGTCGGAAATAAATTGACAATAAACTTGATATTTGGCATACTACTTGACATGTTCAAAATGGTCGACAGATTGCACATCTGATGGCAGAACGAGTGATCATGTCAACTCACGTATCTTCAAACAAACCCGAAGCATTTATTGCTGCGTAATAAGCAGAACATTGTTGCTCTACCTCATCCTAAATAACGAAATGTAGAATATTACTTTGATCCTAAATCGGTGTCTCCGATAGGAAGGATATTATTCAAAAAAAATAAATCATGATAAGATTATCATAATTAGCTCAATATTTTGATAATATATTATCATGATTCTAAATCATAAAAATTATAATAAAATATTATCATGATTCTATCAAGTACTGAGGATCATGATCTCAACATGATCTCCTATATTATAAAATAATTTAGATAAATATTTTATAATTATTATTAATTAAAAAAATATAAGTTATTATGAAATAATTTAGATGAATATTTTATATTTATTATTGATTTAAAAAAATTATGTAATTAACATATTTTATAATTTTTTGTGTATATAAATTTATATTTATTATTAATAAAAAATTTAAGCTAATCATTTATTTCAATGTACACCACCAAGATGTGAAAAGAAATTTATAGTTAATATTCTGGTTACGTATGTATTTACAACGCGCATCAAACTGCAATTCTCATCTTTACTCTCCTGCAGGTAGAAAGAAATTTATAGTTGGCTATCATCGGAAAGGAACTAAGGCGGCAGCAAATAATGAATGCTACTGCTTCTGACAATTGAAGACAAGAGTGATAGATACATGAGCATATAACATAGTGTTAAGGAAGCTTTTCTTAACCTTTTGGTCTCTGACCTAACAGCAGATGAGGTAGAAGAAGAGTAACCCGGAAACAGAAAAGAAGTTGACAATCGAGTTGCTTTCTTCTCTGTTAAAGCTGGAATTTGTCAAAATGTGGTGAGTTTAATGCACCCAACTGGTCCTTTCAGGTACAGTGTAATCAACGTAACAAGGAGTTGGAAAAGTCAACGAGTATAGAATTTCGTCGACGAGCTCATTATTCATTGGATATCTGACAATTATACATTTATGATGCGCTTCTGTCACCCGATGGCTAAGTCTATCTCAAACGACTGTTTCCCACTGACCTCAGCCTGTCACATCGTATTAACCATAATTAACACTACTCGTCAGCTTGCTGTGCTCATTCACGGATCATCCGCATTGTTCCGTGTGGTGTATTGGCACTCAAAATTCTTAAAAATTATCCACCCACATTTGACTGACATAATTATGTGTTTACTAGAATATTTGATACGTTTTCATGCACCATTTCCTGAATCAATTATACTCTGAGGATAACTCCAAGCTTACGTTATGAGAAACTCGCGCCTGTGTGGGGGATAATCCACCACATATTGGTTGAACTTTTCCTTTTTTAGATTAAATATTCAAAACAAAAACACACGTATGTCGTCATTTTGGTGATCATTGGCAGGTATCTTCTGCAGTAATCATCGGCAGCAGTAATTTTAATATGGGATGAAGAGAACTGTTCTCATGGAAGGACCAAGTCCTGCCCAGCGGGTGATCTCTCGTATCAATTGTGCTATCTATATAACCAGACTCAGCTGGCTCGCCCTCCATAATGCCATCGATCATGAAGGTAAGTGGCGGCTTAGAGTGATTTCATGTGTCATCACCGTGGTTTCTAATCCCATCTTTCCTGGAATCCGATTGCAGAAGATCGTGTTGAAGGTCTGCATCATGTGCAACAAGTGCAAGATCTGCATCATGACGACCATCGCCCACTTCGAGGGTTAGCATGCAAGAACCCTAACTTGCTGCTTCAGTCTTTGGCCGAGAGATGTGAGTGCATGCATGGCGTTACGTACCTTTTTCCGGCCGGTGATTTGCAGGGGTTGTGTCGATAGCGCTGGACGCCGAGAAGAACACGGTGACGATAGTGGGGAACGTCGACGCCACGCTCATCGTGAAAGCGCTGAGGAAGGCCAGGAAGACAGCCGACATCGTCAGCGTCGGGGAAGCCAGCAGGTACAGGCCGGTGACGGTGGAGCTATGCACGACTTCGCAGTCACACTGCAGCTCTTGCAGGCCGGTGATGGTGGTGTGCGAGGAAACCAAAGGGTGCAGCATCCTGTAAAGCAGTTGATTGTTCTACCTATTCATGTGTTTATTGTTGAGGTGATAGTGAAGAATTCTAAACTCAAAAGAATAATTTTTTTAGAAATCAATAAATTAAAAAGTAAATAAGAAAGTCAATGTTAGTTTAATAAATCCCATCTATATTCATAGATAAAATTAAATTCTGAGATCAATTATAAGATCTTGAGTTATTCTTATTCAAATATGACTTGTTTATAGAGCTTCTTCTTCTCATATAAAATTTAAAGAATTTATTTTTTTTCTTCATTTTTTTAGAAATTATAAAGAATTTTTATTTTTAGAAATTTTAAAGCCTTGTTGTTAGGGTGATGGTGAAGATTTCTGCAATCCTCATATGAGCTCCGCTGACCTTGGAAAAGAAAATGATGTAGTCGTACAAGGCCACCTCATTCTCCTAGACAGTTGAGACTGTAAACAACACTAGTTATATCAGATAGGTGGCAAGCTTCTCTTGACCTAATCAGAACAAAGGGAAGATGCATGATGTGTCTGCAAAAGGAATATAATTATAGCATTTGGTGTAAGAGATTGGACCAAACCTTCATATTCTACCTTTTCACGCTGATAAACCTCCCCAAGATCTTAAATGTATTCATCCTTCAAGTTTTATCCTCTCTTCCTCACTTCGTATCTTTGCGTCTGCCTATAGGAGGCATAAACCATTTCATTTCCTCACTTCATTTCTAACGTAAAATGCATGAAAGATGGTCTCAGTCCTCGTGAAGCAGTGTGTTCAAGCAATATTGGATATGGCAACAGACATGCGATGATGTTTGGGCAAGGACTACTGCCTTAAAAGATAAATGTGATTATTAATGTTCATGCTAGTACCAATCCGTGAGTACAAATTCCTTTTTCTTCTCCCAACGCAAAATCACAACTCTTAGGCATGTTTCATTCGATGAACTGATGAAAGCATATTAACAGGGAATAGAACTCCGAGAGAAGCTCTCCAGACATACTTCCCATGGCGCACTGGAGCAGCATTCTTGCCAGTAACTCTGAACAAAGTCAAGTGTCGATGACTTGTATCGATTTCTAAATGATTCCATCTCTTATAACTCGAGCACAATCAGAAAACTAAAGGGGACAAAGAGCATTCCGATCGAACACCTGCTGCACTCTCTGCCTTTTGTGGAGAACAGAGCGCACGGCGAAGGAACAAAGAAGGATGAGAGAGTGTCAAACAGGTGCACCAAATCGCACTAACGTGAGACAAATGTTGGCTCATATCATCAGAGAGATAATGTTGAATCCAAGAAAGACATTTTGCTCTGAAAGAAGCATGAATGAGAGACTGCTATGCCCAAAAGTATAGCGTCTCGAAGGAACATTATTGAGAGTGACGTATAATGGTCAACACAAAACTGCTAGCATATAATGTGCATGAAGATAGCTGAGACCAACAGGATCGAGTCAGGTGAATTCGGCCTTAGCAATTTTGGTTTACGACTAATCAAATTCAAATTAATACACTTAATAAACTCGACTCCGATGTGATGGTGAATCCAATCCTAAATCCGATCAAATCTAAAATTTCTAGAAACTGTAATATTATATTTAATAAATATTTTTAGTAGCTTCCCTAATTTGATTGGGGCTAATTTCAAGTTTAAAACAGGTTTCCTTCTTCTAATTGTGTTTTCTAATTCGATGGGAATTCGGCATTCTCTCTAATATATTCCGCTTACCATTCCTCCTCCATCTACACCTCACACACACTCTTCTCGCTTTTGGTTCTGTCTTCCTTGCTTCTTTCTTCTTCGTTCCCCTTCGTTCTGCGGCAATGGCGTCGGAAGACAACAGCGATGATGAAGAGAAGAACTGGATGTAGGAGCTGATCGACCTTTTCCTCCTCAAGAAGGTCCGCAATCTGCCGCTGGGAATTCTCCCAGACTTCAGAATTCCCGAGCTGGAACCTGGGTCGCCAACGGCAAGCCCCGCGACATACCACATCGAGATCGGAGGGCGGCGATCGTCGGGACTCTGACGAGTCTGGAGTTCTTCAAGGACGGTGGTGACCTGAGGATGAAGAAGAAGGACAGGACACTCGGTACGAAGTGGATAATGCACGAGTACCGCCTCCATCCCAGCTTGTACGGGACGATATCCTCCTACGAGACCGAAGAGATCATTTCGTGCAGAATCCGGCACAAGGGGAAGAGCCCCGCGGATGACGGCGATAGCCTCGCAGCGAAGGTCCCAGCTTTGGCGGATACCCAAGAAATGTCGGAGCCATCGAGGGCGGCACCTGCAACCCAGGACGGGGCAGTTGACGTCCCCGGGTGTTCTGGGGTTCATGGCACCGGAGCTGCGGAAGAAGAGCCACGGACGACGGCACCTGCGACTCAGGGTGCGACGGCTCATGGCACCGGAGCTATGGAAGAAGAGCCGTGGAGGCGGGACATGCCACCCAGGGCATGACAGTTGACGTCCCTGAATGTTCTTGGGTTCTTGGCACCGGAGCTATGGAAGAAGAGCCACGAATGCCGGCACCTGCGACCCAGGCTGCGATGGCTGATGCCCTTGTATGTTGTCGTGTACCTGACACGAGAGCCTTGGGAAAAGAGCCATCTTTCTAGGATTCCGCTGCGATGCTAGAAGTGGAAGAAGAAGCGTGGACTTCGGATGAGATGCATGAACTTCACAAGATGCTTGAACTTGATGACCTGCCAACGGAGGCCACGGCTGCAGGAGAGACAGCGTCAGCGCCACCAGTTGCGAAGCCACGGATGGCGGCGCCTGAGACCCAAAGTGCTGACCCTGGGTGTCCTCCTCTCCATCACAAGAGCTACGAAAGAAGAACCGGCTTCCGCGGGTTTCGATGCTACGAGACTTTCTACCCGCTGAGGACGACAAAGTGTGGACTTATGACATCGATGAGTTAATGGGAGAGTTCCCAGTATCTGCCCCTGCCACGGAACTCTCCATGGATCCTGCAGTCCCTTTGGATGAGCTCATCCGATGTAATTGAACTGGTTTAGTTCGATCTCTTTCAAACTCGAACCTTGTGTATAAATTGTATACGATTCGACGACTAAGTGTGCATGATGTCGCTTTTTCTATTTCTTTTCCTCCTTGTGTTGCTTGTACTTTTTGCAAGTGCACCATCATGTTTAAGACATTTTATTGCTGCAAGATTCACAATGTCCGAATCCAAAAATATGACACTCAGAGCAAGTGAATGCTTAAATGGTAATATCCTATTCCATCCAATTCGATCCATCACCAATTTACCCACCTCATCCTTCTTTAGTAGGTCAGACAAGTGAGGACTAGAAAGTTGTCATGACATGACCTGACCTGACTCAACCACAACCCCACCACCCACAAACCTGTGAACCTGAATCGAATCTGTTGGAATCCCCGAGAAGGTGCACACGCCATGATCCTAATCTCTCTAAATTCTCTTTTCACGAGTAAAAGATGGATCTTAATTTTATTTCATGTAAAGGCCAGCAAACACAACCGACATGTTTCATGCATGCAGCTCATTCATAAACTTTGTTTGATCCACAGCCAGTTCTTTATGTCGGTGACATCATCATGTACTCTCCAATTCATGAGGAAGGCCAGTGAATTAATAGACTTGTGGTTGATGGCTTCTGAGAGAGCAGTAGATATATATCGAAATGTCAACATGTTGCAAGTGTCATCACCACCACCACAAGAAGCCAAAGCCTCTTTGCATCATTTGCTGCGTCCTCACAGAACACCTAATAGCATTCACCTACCAACTCGTGATGTCTCTAAAGCAACCCCACCACATGGAAATTGTCACCACCTAATGCAGTAGTAGCACGTCTGTGTTGATTGCGAGCAAAGGTCGACGTCATATGGACTTTCTGACGGAGTGAGTTGGTGACTTGCTTCTTGACATTTCAGTATACGGAAGGTTGGTGGTGAAGTTTTAGACGATGACTGATTTGAAGAAGATAATTGTAGAAGATTATATTAGATAATGAAGAGTCAAAATAACACAGCAATTGATTCAATCAATTAAATACATATATACATAAAACATCTGTATCTGTTTCCTAAGCAGTTCCTCACCGTTGACCGTACTTTCTACTGCAGATAAGGGATGCTCTCTTAAATGCCCAACTTGTGGGGTTTATGTGCAATGGATCCGAAATCCCATGAGATCCGTGAGAGATCGCACAGGAAAAGCCATACAAACAAACAAAAATCTGAAGTGATTCCATCCAATATAATCAACCCCACCTAATGACGAATCCATAGTCCCTACTTGTGCCAAATGACACACGAGTTTGTTTGATAGTATTCCAATTTAAAGATAACGGATCATAAATATTTCCCTCCTCGTAAAGGGGTTGGTGGGCTACCGGGTCCGGGTCGCTGTCCCTCACCGACTCCGGCAAATATTGGCCGCAGGATCATGTGTGATCCGACGGCTATGATAGCCCGACGGACAAGGGTCTCCGAGCCCTGATCGGATCTGGATCTCAGAATCTTTCCGCACTCGTTCTGCAATTTACTCGACTGTCTACCTATCACGTGACTAAGAGGAGTTGGGCCCACCGATCCAGACGGTCACAGCATGGGTAGATCCTTCGTGTGGCCGACGAACGGGTTTGGAGAAGAATTCATGATGTGTCGCATCTACGCGGCTTGCGGATACATGGCCTACCAGTGGACCCCACATGCAAGCGCTATCTCCTCTATCTGATCTCTGTGTCGGTAGGTTGCTCGAGTAACACAAGGACTGGTTTACGAAGTAATTTATGAACCACCCGCTCTCGAAGGCGAACGCCGCTCGTCTATAAATAGGCGGCACATGGGAGGGGAAGAGGGTGTGAAAGGGCAGGTCTCCATTACCCGGCACTTGCAGATCTTGTCCAAAGGTGAGGGCCGTCGCCTACAGGTTTGGTGCTCTGTCGCTTGCTTGTCTCTTTTGCGTCGGATTTGTAGCGATTTCGCTTTAGTTTCGTTGCTCCTTTCATGTTTCTCGAGGTATTCTTCGAGGGTTAAACTCTTTCTTGTTTGCTTGAGCTATTTATTCTTCGGATGTTCAACCCTTTCTTGTTTCGCGAGGTGTTCTTTGGATGCTTACTCTGTAGTTGACTGGTTGGTTCTTTTTGTGTTGCTCTGCGGTTCGAATGGCCAGATCTGCCATTTCTAGTTGTTCGTTGGGCTATATGGCTCGTGCTTCTTTAAGTAGAACCAGTCCGCCTTCGTTGTAGGTGTTCTTGACCTTTGGTGCAGAGATCCGCTTGGAATCATGGAGACGCTGTGGTTTTGTTGCTTTGAAAGTGGCTGGATTTACCTAGAACTATGTGATTCTTGATATTCTAATGCTTTTATACTTCAGAAACAAACTTGGAAGATTTGTCATCAGTTTTCAAGATCAAATCATGCTTGATTACTTGATTTAGGGAATTTTCTTTACAATTTCATGTGATTTACTGCAGAAACTTGTGATGCACGCGAGACATATGTAATAGTAAAGAACTTCTGCTCCAGTAGGAGGGAATTTTAGGAAGTAGAAACGACATGACTATTAGTTTATCACGGATGATGTTCCCATAAATATAAGTGCTTTGGCAAATGAAATTATCCGAAAACAGTGTAATTTATTAGTATTATTTTGTTTTAATCTTGGAACCTGAGACAGAATTAAGGATACAGGCTGCCTAATAGGTGTAAGAACAATCTGTTGCTTTTGGGTTTGTTATGCCTAAAATTCCTTGTCTTCCATTCGAATACTCTGCTCTGTCGTCCGTTGTTTGCGCAGGTCATGCGTATGGCATGGCATGTCTGTCTACTTGTGTGTCTCTTTGGGGGATGAGCTTGTGGACTCGCATACTGAACATTAATCTCGTTGTGATTCTCCAGGCTTAAGGAGATGGCCAGCAACGATACCTTCCTTTTCACCTCTGAATCCGTGAACGAGGGGCACCCTGACAAGCTCTGCGACCAGATCTCCGATGCCATACTCGATGCCTGCCTCGCACAAGACCCCGACAGCAAGGTTGCGTGCGAGACCTGCTCCAAGACCAACATGGTCATGGTCTTCGGGGAGATCACGACCAAGGGCGACATCGACTATGAGAAGATTGTTCGTGACACATGCCGTTCGATTGGGTTCGTTTCGGATGATGTCGGCCTGGACGCTGATCACTGCAAAGTGCTAGTTAATATCGAGCAGCAGTCCCCTGACATCGCCCAGGGCGTCCATGGCCATTTCACCAAGCGCCCTGAGGACATCGGTGCCGGTGACCAGGGTCACATGTTTGGCTATGCGACCGATGAGACACCTGAGCTGATGCCCCTCAGCCATGTCCTCGCCACCAAGCTCGGTGCGCGCCTCACCGAAGTCCGCAAGAACGGCACCTGCTCCTGGCTGAGGCCTGATGGGAAAACCCAGGTTACGGTCGAGTACCAGAATGACCATGGCGCCATGGTTCCCATCCGTGTCCATACCGTGCTGATCTCCACCCAGCATGATGAGACTGTCACCAACGATGAGATTGCCGCGGACCTCAAGGAGCACGTCATCAAGCCCGTCATCCCTGAGAAATACCTCGATGAGAAGACAATCTTCCATCTTAACCCATCCGGGCGCTTCGTCATCGGTGGACCTCACGGTGATGCTGGGTTGACTGGCCGCAAGATCATCATCGACACGTACGGCGGTTGGGGTGCTCACGGTGGTGGTGCATTCTCGGGCAAGGATCCCACCAAGGTTGACCGCAGCGGTGCGTACATCGTCAGACAAGCGGCCAAGAGCATCGTGGCAAATGGCCTCGCCCGCCGCTGCATTGTCCAGGTGTCGTACGCGATCGGTGTTCCTGAGCCTCTCTCGGTTTTCGTTGACACCTATGGTACCGGCAAGATCCCAGACAAGGAGATTCTGAAGATTGTGAAGGAGAATTTTGACTTCAGGCCTGGGATGATCACCATCAACCTCGACCTGAAGAGGGGAGGCAATGGCAGGTATCTGAAGACTGCAGCTTATGGGCACTTTGGAAGGGATGACGCTGACTTCACCTGGGAGGTGGTGAAGCCGCTCAAGTGGGAGAAGCCTGCTGCCTGAACCCAAACCATTTCATAGGAACACGTCAATCTATCCATCTATCTATCTATCTTTCTAGGTGGTGGCAGATTGTGTGTCTGCATCATTGCCATTTGCTGCACCAGAACTCCAGTGTTTAAGATACCTCTCTATTCTAGTTAGTTCGGTGCAAGAGTTTAAGTTTGATTAGAAAGGGAAAGAAAAAGAAAAAAAGGATGAGGCTATATGGGGTTTGTTTGGAGTCACTGTTGTTATGCCGTGTGTCAAGTTGAAGAAAAATAATACTCGTGTCTTGCAGTTTCTATAGAGCGTTTCTTTCTGTTCTGTGCTCAGTCCGGACAAAATTTGGTCCTCCAATCCACCAAGCTCTAGGGAGTAACATGTCATTTGATTGATTATTTGCTCACCGGAATCCATAGTCTACCGTAGAAAGTACTATGCAACAATCAACGATTAGATAGATATTTTCACATACATGGTTATCACAGTGAGGACCGCAGATGAACGTTGCTGACTCGAAATTAGTAACATTGGTGGTTCCCCACTTTTTCGTCTCGTAAGGCAGCCCATAGAAAGCTGCCTAGAGATAAATACAACACTGGGTTGCACAATGCAAAAAAGAAAAGAAAAACTCAAAACTATCCTGCACTCTGAGAGAATGAAAGTAAGATATAGAGGGAAGATGATACAACAAAAAAAAAACTGGCATATCATACACGTAACAAACCAACAGCACATCATACCATGCTGTGAATCCAAACATATCAACCAACAGGAAAAGAAACCTTATAAGATATAAGATGGATCATCAGCCAAACAGGCTCTTGCTCAAATGCCAAAGTTACTCTAAAACTCCCCAAAGCTCTGCTGACAGCAATCTCCTTGCAGTGGGAGCAGGTGGGGACAAGCCAGGTATTATATCTCTGATGTTCTTATTATTTGGGTTCACAACCGACGGTTTCATATCAAAGAGTTCTCAGCTGCAGGATCACTACCTCCAGCACCCATATCAAAGAGTTCAATTCTTTGATTACCAAGGCTATTTTGATATCTGAAGGCCACAAATAAAATTAGAAGGTCTAGTCAATAAAATAATACATATAAGAATTAAAAATTGGATTCATCTATGAAGAAAATAGATAGAACAACTATACTCAGAAAATAAAAAGTTGCAAGTAATTAAACAATGAAAGTGAATGTGTTTTTCAGGTAGACATATTTTTAGGTCATTAAATATGATGAAGAATGGTGGCAAGAAGCACATCTTCATGTCATGTTCCCACATTGATAGAAGCTACTTGATAAGCATGCACAAATGCAACACGAAAAGAAGCTAAAGAGATGATTGTTACAGGTTACAACATAAAATAAAACAAAAAAAAAGAGTAAGAAAACAGGCCAGATAAAAAAGCATCAAGCTACAATGTGTCCCAAATCTTGTAACTGGGCTAGAACAGGTGTGACCAACTTGTTTACATCCTTTAATATTATGACAAACAAGCATCTGAACGATATAATTTTCTCAAATAGATATTCTCATATGCTCTTTCAACAAGCTACAGCAAATAGATCTTCTAACTAATCATCCACAAACTAATCTAGTAAAGCACTAAATAAAGCAAATATCTAAAACTCCAACTTCATGACCCTGCAGCCTCAAATCTTCATGCTATCTCCTTGTGTTACTTTCTGTTTCTCTTTTCCTCATGGCAGCCATAGCTTCAATGACAAGACAAGTTGTATTGATGATTGCAAATAGCAGACTGGACATTCTAGTGGGCAGCTTTGCCACATCGCTACCATGGCTACTGGCCAAGATTGGGGGATATCATGGTAGGTAAGGTGGAAAATCGAAAAGAAAAAAACCATTAATTAATTATGTATTCAGACAGTTGGGCTTAACCCATGCTACTATCATTGGGTTTAATCTGTATCTAAGTCTTTAGCCTAGACACAATTAGAATCGAGATTGTTTGACAGAAACAGAAGTTGATATACAGTGGGATTGGACCAGGTTAATTTTGGATAGATATATTGAATTATGTCTCAGCTATGGATATTTTGTTTGAGTTGATTCAGTCTAATTAAACCAGCTCTGAATTTAATTAGTTGTCATATTGATTGAATACGATCAAATCATTGAGCCCCTAGTAGGGCACTCTGGCTGATAGCATCATCCAAAACAATAGCCAGACTGCCAGAGAATCACTCGTGGTCCCAAAGTTCATCAGGTAGACTAGAAGGAAGACGAGCACTCACCTAGGTTCCCCTCACATGGGTTTTTTGGGTTACACCTGTGGGAAGAACTCCCACATAACTGAGTGGCTGATCAAGGGGATCATCCACCCCACGATGGCAAAAAGTTTCGCCAAATAAATGACACCCAACTAATCCAATCAACGTCCAAGGCCATGCCTAATATAGCTTGCTTTATACAATCTTGTAAGATAATTTTCTTTTTCTTCAGCTGGACCTGATTGGTTGGAAACTGTTCTTACAACCCAAGCGTCATCCCCAAACACTTTACCATTATTTATTTATTATCTTTCAATTGTCTCATTGTGTTGAATTGTGACCAATGTAATGAAACAAAACATCAGGTCAGGGTTAGATAGACCATCATGCCAGCATATACCTGCAGCAAAGTGAATAAAACTCTATGATATTAGATGATATTAAAGAAATGCACAAATTGCCTTTTCAGAATCCAAGCAACAAATTGTTGGTGAAACATATAAAAAACATATCTTTCAATGTTTGTTCCTCAAAGGAAAGGCATGGAACACATGTCATCTTCTTCAGGGAAAAAAGGTCATGATGAAAGGCCCTAGATCAAAACTGAGCTGGAAATGCTTTTCCAGCTGTGGAATCATATAATAAATGAGATAAATTTATAACTAAAAGGTGTATCTATATGTAAATTGTGTATCTGTAACCCAAAGGTGTATCTATATGTAAATTGTGGAATATGCTACTAGCAGCAACCGTAAGTTGATGTCAAATGGAATAACTAACCAAGACCTACGTTTTTCTCATGGCCGCATACAAGTTCAGCTCCTTGATCTGTAATAAGTCAATGACAACTGATTAGGAGAATAAAAGAATGGATGTCGTAAAGTACAAGAGTAAAAGAAGAAATTACCTACCATGGTTTGCTTCTTCTCATTGAGCTGCTTACTAACATCAGGAGTATTTCGACTCTCCTGATCCTTAATTTCACAATCAAACTCTTTAATTAACCTGTAAAAGGTTATTTTTAAAACAATTTAAAGTACATATAGGACTGGAGATTTATGGAACTGGTTGTTTCAAAGTGTAAATTGTAAGTATAAAGAAAACATAACAAAGATTGATCCAACATGTTAAGTTACTGTGGCAACCAACATGATAAAGATACTCATACAACGATTGAAACTTGAAATATCAACTAACCTACCGCTTACATTCCCTCATTTTCCCAGTAAGATCCTCCTACTGCTTAGACTGTCTGTTAGGACTTAGGATCCTTCATCTTATCCAATTTCTGGAATCCATTTCTGCAGATATACATAGGAAAGCTAAAATGTCAGTTTTGCGTCTTTTGATCAATGTATAGAAACAGGCAATTCCAAGGTTCTTCCATAAATTAGTGGGGAATGATAAGGACTCAATAAGGTTACAGGCTCAATAATGATTCTGTGTACAAGTAGAAATGCAAAGACCTAACAGAAACTAGTTGTATAACACAAAACAGGAAAAATAGAATTTGTATAACACAAAAAGGGACTAAATGTCACATGAACTGATAATTATGAATCAATCTGCAAAAAAAAAAAAAAAAACAAATGTATGTTTTTTTTCAAAGTGCATATCTATAACCACTTAATTATTAGCATACATAAAATAGAATGAAGAGAATGATATGCCAAATCACCCTATGACCCTAATATAGATAGCTAAAGCTTTTTTATAGCTAACATCATTATAACCACAAGTTCAACATATCGTGTCCAAAATAGCTAAGATATACTTTCCCAACTCTGCTTGGTAGTTTCTAATTAGAATATAAACTTGCGCACCTAGGACGATAATATATTTGCCTATTCTTTGTCAATGAACATCAGAGCAACCAAAAACCAAAATTATTCTGTGCCACGAAATATTTATCTCCAGTCATTTTACATAGTTGCAAATCTGCTTCAAATTGGCATATCAATTTTTTACTCATTCCAGTGTAATGATGCTTACAGGTAGAAGCTTTCTCCTTTCCTATCTAGCTAGATCTTAGAAGCCCATTTTGAAAACCACACTGACGATTTCAAGATTATCTTCAAAATCTCACTACAATTTTTGCTCTTACATATCATATTCTAACAACATATGGTCCAAACTGTATCTGTAGATATAATTTTCTTAAATTATAGCACATAAGGCATGCATTAAGTGTCAACTATAACCACCTTGCAAAATAGAATTCTTTTTAGCTGACTATTATACAAGCTCATCAAGAAAAAAAAGATTAAAATCACACAACCAGGTCAAAAATAGAGGAATTATTTTTCTGAAACGTGTGGAAGATGACCAAGAAGATATACCTTTTCAATTAGGTTTTCTAGCTTCTTACAAAATCAAATAGAAATTTACCTATCCAGCAAAGACAAAAACAACTTTTGTCTTCTCCCCATCAACAACCATTGGTGCATCCCAACACCAAGTTTCTTTTGTGTCACGAAATCCCACTCTGGTCACTTTGTATACCTTTGCAATTCTAATTCTCTAGTACAGTAATCTTCCATTCCAATGTCACATTCGGTAATGCTTTCAGGCAGTCCTAGATACTCGCTTTAGAACGCGAATCTTTATTACCCACTTTGATCTTACCATATCATTGCACACATCGATCAAGAAGAAGTTGGTAAAACGCAACAACAAGAAAACTACATAAAAGATAGAAAGAATAGTTTACACAAATACCAGCAGAATCGCACAACCGCATCGCAGAAGAGAGCGATGAACTTACTGGAGGGCACGGAAGATGTCCCGGATTTCGCCATCATTCTGCTCCAGCTCCGTGCTTATAGACGCTCCGCTCGCCATTTCCCCCTACGAATAAGCTCGAATCTCCAGCAGCACAATCTCCCAAACCCTCCAGATACTCGGATCATCTCCGAACCAAAAACAAATCCATCTATCCTATTCCACACAAGGATCAGGTTGGGAAAAGGAAGGAGACAGGGTTGGGATGAAGAATTCCAAGAGAATCCCTAACCCTCGTTAAAGAAAAGCTCTGCCAAGAAGAAACCCTAAAAAGGAAAGAAAGGAAGAAC